AGTATTAATTAAGACATTCAGTCTAGAAGCAAAATACCACCATAGTAGAAGAACATGAATACTCACATCGATCACTAATGATTCTAAACGTTTTCTTTACTTTCCTCCAATGAGACACCTAAAGTCAAGCGCATAAAAAATATTATTAATTTATTATATATGAATCTTATTATTAAAAAACAATTTGCCTTAATTGGACCCTTTGATATATCATATTATTTTATTATTATTATACTAATTATTATCTTCATTTAATTAACTTTTAAATAATTTAAGCTTAAAAAATATTGATAATAAAGTTGGGTAAACTTTCTAGTTATGAAATTTATAACTCTTCTAATAGTCCTATATACATATATTTACATTTATATTACATAACAATTTATTATTAAAGAAACGATTGAACTTAAATAAAATCAAGCCTTAACTATTCTTACTATAAAATTTCTTTAGCTTAAAACCTGATTTATTTAAACCTTACCTTACCTTCGGTCTAACCCACGAAAATTCATGCAGTCGCTTCTTCTTCCTCTCTTCTCCTGCATACCGTAGTGCTCGAAGCTTGACAGAACTCCTCCAATTGAACTCCAAACGCACGCACTTCCTTTCCTCTTCTTCGAGCACTAGGATCCTTCCTACGGCTCGGCTTGACGCGAGATCTTCATCTTCCCGCTTGTGTTGACGATAATATATAGAGTCGCTAGGTAAGACGCACTTCATCTTCTCGTAAGCTCGAGGGAATGGAAGGAAATGTTCACAAGTAAGACGCACATCACCTCTTCCTCTTTCCTTCTCGATTTCGATCGGCTAGGTCTCAGATTGACCCGCACAAAAGAGTATGTTGCTTCCTTCCGTGGCTTCGATGCCTATCTTTGCACGTAAAGAAACCCGTAGCGCCTACTTCGACGACTTCTCTTTCCTTTCTTCCTCTACTTTTTGTCCACATGCCGAACTCCCGTCTCACACTCAATATATAGAGTGAATTCCCCTTTTCGGCTTCTCTACTGTTCGCTTCCTCTTCCCGACTCCTCGCTTCCTACCTTTTCTGTTCGACTGCCCGACCTCCCCGATTCTTCATTCCCCCTAGTTACAATCTTCCACACTTACAAAAATTTTGTCCTCGAAATTTGTAAATAGAATGCAAGCAGGTCAACATTAGCTATCCGTGAAACTAGGGTCATTCATGAAAAATAATCACTATAAAGGTAAAGACTCGATACAAGTTGACTCAACTATACTTCATAATACAAAACTGAAACAAGAAAGTTTGCTAGGGAAATACTCTTATATAAGAAATTGCCAAACAAACCAGACCTCATCACCATCAACAACATCAGTTTCTTTAAACTCACTATGAGTAAGGGAATATACCCAAGTTCGAACCCATTGTCTTGATTGACCTTGGTTAGAAGCTGAGGCTATTGACTCTTATCTTTTTCTGCCCGCCTACCAACTTTTATTGATCTTCGGCACTTTTTTGGCCAAGAGATGGACAATATCTTACTATATAACCAGATTGACGACACTAATAACAAGTATTAGAGCCCATCAAGTATTCACATTTATGTTGTCTCCCGCATTTGGTACAAGTGACTAAAGTATCCGGAGTCGTACCTCTGCTAACTCCACCCGAATTATTCTTGGACTTCTTCTCATTGGATCATTATGATGATCTACATGTTCTCCTGCAGTCTTCCTCTTGTGTATCTTCTTATGCTTCTGAGTAAGCTGATAGTTGATCTCTACTCTTCTAGCTTCTTCCACCAATACCGAGTATTCATCGATCCCTAAACATACCAATGGCTTTTTGATCAAATCTTTTAATCTCGAAAGAAATTTGTAGTACTTTTCTTCTGCAGTAGCGATCAACTGTGGCACATACATTGATAGTGCAATGAATTCTGCTTCGTACTGCATGACCGTTATCTCCCTTTACCTCAGCTTGCTAAGCTTGTCCTATATTTATCGTCGAGTGGATAGGGGTACAAATTATTCGCTGAATAGCTCCACGAATTCCTCCCAACTAGCCATCGTGTTGTGTATGTCCCCCAAGCTATCCAGACGTTGCTCACGCCATCATCTTTCGGCTTGTCCATCCAGCACAAACGTCGCTAATAGTACTCTTCTTTAATCTAGACAAGCCATGCTATCTTTTATATTCTTTATCCTTATTAACCACTTCTCCACTTCAACTGGGTCTTCAGTTCTCTTGAACAAAGGTGGACACAAAATTTGAAATATCTTCAAGTATTTATCCACAATGATTGTATCACTTTTGATAGACTGTGATTTGGACCGCTGAATCAGCCAAGCATCGTCACCATCATTTGAGTGAGGACATTTGTGTTCACATTTATAATATGTTATACTTCTTCGTTTTCTATTAGATTTTTTTCTTATATGATTTCGAGTGTATCACTATGCCTGAAAGGATAATAATTATTAGTTTGAGTTAACTTTAATTTTTATAATTATCATATTGACTCTTTCATCAATATTCAATTAATTAATCCTAAACCATGACCTCTGATACCACTTCTGTCATGACCTGGCCCAGGTCTTGGAATTAATTAAGATAGGAACAGACAGTCATACAGTGAGAAATAAAATTTTCATCTTTATTTTCTATAAGTTTTTATAAATGAAATAACCACTAATTAAATTAAATTAAAATAATATATTTAAATGTATCTCATTGCTAGTTGTTAACGTCTTCTATAAATATTTTTTCTTCTATCGCTCATCTTTTAATTGTTTAATTAGCCTGAAAAGCTTGTTAAAATAACAATGAGATAAGCGAGTTAGTGAATATTTATATTCCTAAACTACAACAATACGTGAAAAAAGAACAATATGCATGTTAGTTAAGTTTTTTATAAATCAATATAAAACTTTAACATGCTACTCAAAAGTCTATATTAATATCATATAAATATCATTTTATGTCAGGAGCATCGCCTAAAAATTGTGTCAATCAAGACACATCAATATCAATATCCTTTTTCATTTACGTGCACAAATAACTTAATGTTCGCCCTACTATTATCATTAAGGGGTGACTCCATCATAGTTAATCACTCACATACAAACACTCAATAAAATATCACTTAATAAAAAAATATTCATTTCTCATTTGTATAGCAGTTAATCATTCAATAATGATATGCACATACTATTCCTTCAATATGAACAAAAGCTCACTAGAATTCAAAATCATGAATTTTCAATCATTTACCAGATAATTAATAAAAGTATTAATTAATGCATTCGGTTTAGAAGAAGTAAAATACCATCATAGTAGAATACCATGAGTACTCATATCGACCACTGATAATCCTAAACATTGTCTTCACTTACCTCCAATAAGATACCTAAAGTCAAGTGCATAAAAATTATTAGTATATGTTAATCTTATTATTAGAAGGCAATTTACCTTAATTTGACCATTTGATATATCATATTATTTTATTATTATTATACTAATTGTTATCTTCATTTAACTATTTCTTTTAAACAATTTAAGCTTAAAAAAATATTGATAATAAAGTTAGTTTAACTTTCTAGTTATGAAATTTATAACTTATAACAGTCCTATATACATACATTTATATTTATATTGCTTAATAATTTATTATTAAATAATCGATTGAACTTAAATAAAATCAAGTGCTAACCGTTCTTATTATAAAATTTCTTTAGCTTAAAACTAAATTTATTTAAACCTTACTATTAATAACTAATAATTAATAATATATTAAATTCATAAATTAAAGTTTAGGAAACCTTACCTTTGGTCTAACCCGCATAAAGCCACGCATCTGCATCTTCTTCCTCTCTTCTCCTACGTACCGTACTGCTCGAAGTTTGACGGAACTCCTCCAATTGAATTCCAAGCGCACGCACTTCCTCTTCTTCTCGTTTTCGAGCACAAGGATCCTTCCTCTAGCTTAGCTCAACAAGAGATCTTGTTCCTCCCGCTTGCTGCTGGCGATAGTCTGGAGAGCCACCCGAGGCCTTATCATTCTCGTAAGTGCGACGGAATGGAAGGAAATTTTCGCAAGTAAGCCGCACATCACCTCTTCCTCCTTCCTTCTCGATTTTGATCGGCTAGGATTCGAATTGACCTGCACAAAGTATGTTGCTTCCTTCCGTGGCTTTGATGTCTATCTTTGCACATAAAAAAAACCTGTAGTGTCTGCTACTTCGACAAAAACTTTTTTCTTTCTTCCTCTTTTTTTTGACCGCACGCCAAAGCTCATGTCTCACACTCGATTTATAGAGTGAATTTCCCCCTTCGGCTTCTCTATTGTTCGCTTCCTCTTCACGACTCCTGGCTTTCTATCTTTTCTGTTCGATTGCCCGACCATTCAATTTATCTTCCCCAATTTTTCGTTTCCTGTCTCTTCTGTATCTGAAATGAGACCGTTACATCCTCCCCTCACACCTCTCTCTCTTATCTCAGTTGCATGCATCCCAAGCAACCTCTCTTGCCGCAGTTCTCCCAAACCTTGAGAAATTAGGAAAAAATATATAGGAGAAATCAAGCTTTGGATATCTATTCAAATTACATTAAGATTATTATTCTTCTTCAAAATGCTCTAAAACAAGGGTGGTCAGTGGTAATAAGAAAGCTGAAGTAAGTTCTATGTTTAGGAAAAGAGACGGCTATTAATTTGAAGATATAATGCTGCAACAAATGCCAGTTCTTGATTCATCAATTAAAACCAAATGCCTACTATTCATAGTTCTAATCATAAATTTAGGGACATTCTAACTCTAATAACAATGACAATGATAGGCATGTTCACAATGACAAATGATTAGTTTAGCTGTGACTCATAATAAATTGACAAATAAGGACAATGAGGTTGACATGACATTCTAAACAATACTAATCTGACATGCGCAAAAACTATTGGCTGATGAGTGGAAATAGACATCTCAGATGGCATCATCTTGTGCAACCCTAAAATTCCTTAATATTTTAATTCATAATGTAGGCACCATAAGAGGTGGCTTGCTGAGAAGCTGGGTCCAGAAGTTGCACAGGAGGAGCTTGAATTTACCAAAAAGATATTTGCTATTGATGCTAAAAACTATCATGCCTGGTCTCATAGACAGGTTAGTTGTATTTTTAAACATATAGCTGAATTATTTTGGTAAAAAAAGATCACACTTTTTTAATATGCGGAGATAATCTTAGGTTGTTTTCTCTATTAAAAAGTCTCATGATTCTGTATTTTAAATTCACATAAAAGTGGATAGGCCATGAATATTAACTTTGATTTTGTACCACTTTTTTTTCAAATCCGGGATGGGAATAAACCATTTCATTTCTTACCTGCGTTGGTCTAACTCTTAGTTTACTTTATCCTTTAAGATTGGTGACTTAGTTGCACCCTCACCTGCAGTGGGTTCTTGAGGCATTAGGTGGGTGGCAAAATGAGCTTGACTATTGTAATGAACTGCTTAAAAATGACATATTTAACAACTCGGCATGGAATCAGGTATGTATTGATGGTTTCAATAATTTTACTTGCCATGGTTTAATTGTTACGACATTTTTTATCCATATAGTTGGATGATACAAAACATTCAGTTTCAAGTAGATCGTGACATTAAGGCAGCTAACCTTTTACTTTCATGAAAAGTGGAAGATGAAGACCTTTTATTTCTTGTGATTCTTTTATGTCTGTATAAATATTTTGCTTCTTATGGTTTACTTCTTACAGGAGTGCTCATTTCAATTGAAATGGCAATTTTGAATCCTCTCTGCATGTTTATGGGCCAATTTGCCTGTTTCTTTACTTTTGGATCAGAAGCGGTTAATGTGTGCAATTTTATATGCAGTTACTCCATTGGTTGAGTTTTTACTTTATGCCCTCCCTACATTTCACCCTTGCTTTTGAACCATGTTCTCTACTCAATAATAATAAAGAACCATAAAAACTTAGGAAATCTACTGAGCGCTGAAACAGAAAGCTAAGTTGCGTGCAACTTTGGTAACCACAATAACTGGTATCAAATGAATTGGCATAAGAAGGACCAGAGCATTGTTTGCTTTAAATTAAAGGCAGTTAATTCTTTCAGGAAGCAAACCTCAGACTTCCACATAGGAGATAAGTGGCAACTTCTTCTGTATCTTCTGTTTGCACTTTCTCCCTTGGCGTTATTTTTCGTTATGTGTTGGGATGTCCTTCATTCATATTCCTAGCTGAGCCTCCTCTTTACAATTATTATGTTATTTTATCACCTCAAGATGCTTGGTTAATGATGCATGTAATTCAACAGTTGTTTGCGGTAATTTAGAGAAATATTGAATCTGTTTGTTCATACAACGAAAATTACAAAGTTTTCCTTCATTGGATGCAACATGAAACATCATAAACTATAATATTTAACCTACATTTGTTCCCTAACTTTCTTCTTTGCTGGAAACGTATCCTTAACTATCATCAAACCCTTACATGAAGCAGAGGTACTTTGTCATCACAAGATCTCCGCTTTTGGGGGGCTTGCAATCTATGCGTGAATCTGAGGTGAGTTATGCAGTTGAAGCCATCTTATCCAACCCTGAGAATGAGAGCCCCTGGAGGTACCTGAGAGGTTTATATAAAGGTAATCCCAATCTTCTAATATGCGATAATCAGGTCTTAAAAGTATGTCTCCAAGTGTTGAATACAAAGCACAATATCATCTTCCCCTTGAGTTTGCTTTTGGATCTTCTTTGCCATGGCTTCCGGCCAAGTGCAGAATTTGTGAGTAGCATCGAGGCTTTGAGAATCACCTTACCTGAATCATCCTCAACCTCCTCTAGTTTGGCAAAAACCGTTTGTTCTATCCTTGAGACTGTTGATCCGATTCGATTGAACTACTGGTTTTGGCGGCGAAACCATCTTCCTTCTGAGGTTTGTTAAATCTATTTGAAATTTGTAACTTGTGATTTAAATGCAAATTGTTATGGATTTAGTAAACCTTATTGTCTCTTTTAGTAATGTGTATGTATTTCAAGCTAATACAGATGTTGTGTTGTCCAAATGAGCTGGTGTAAACATTCATATGTATGGACTCGAAATCCAAATTAGAGGGAGTCCTTGTTTTTCAAATTCTGTTTTATTCTAACTTTTGTACGGTGAATCAACTGTTGTATAATCTCGATTTGAACTGTTGAATTTGTGTAATTAGAGTAGTTTATATATATATGATTATTTACTTTGCTGCTTTCAGAGGGCCATGTATAAAACAGAAAATTAAAGCGGCGCTTGTTCTTCTAGAGTTTCCCTTTTAGAAATAATAACAAAGCTGTGCTCTTGCTTATCTTTAGTTGGCTGCAAACTAAGTATTTTTAGTCCCCAATCATACTCGTTGGATCGAGAACAAGTCGCTAGTAAAAAAGTTTATTTGATTTTTTATTTTTTATCTTTTTTTTTTCGTGGGTTTTGTTTTCCAGGCTGCTACTTCTATTTTGGAACAACTTGCTGTTTTAAAAAATTTTGTCGTGGGCATTTTTTTTTAACTAGAATATGTAAGCTATGAGAAAGTTAACTTTTTCAAAAAAAAGAAGGATCTTGTTAATAATTTTGCATTATCATCTTTGCAGTAAAAGAAAAATGCTCTCCTGAAGTAAATATTTTCTGAAGGCTCTTACTCTTAATGGATTATCCATCTCATCAGTTTGTTTTAGGGGCATAGTTACTTGAAAGTCAGGAAAGTTACTCTCTTCTTGATGTAGTGGTTCTTGAAACAACCAAGTCATTTTCTTTAATCTCATAAGGAAGTTTTCGTGGGCTTGAAGACGTTGCAACCGGCTCTTTTTTAAGAGAGTGATGTTTGGGTTAAATTTTTAGAATGTAGATTGGATTTAAGATTAAGATGCTATCCATAAATTTTATTCTCATTTATGAGATTTTTTATTTAATTTAAGGTTTTTCACAGGTGTAAATTTTTATGGTCAATTATCCCTCTCATTTATAAGATTTTTTTTTTTTTTTTAGAATTTTTATGGTTAATTATCCCTTTCATTTATAAATTTTGTTTTTTTTAATTGAGGTTGGCAAGTAGTACTAAATGCTTAGTCTATAATAGTATTGATTTTAATTTTGGATTGAGAAAAATTATTGTTTTTTCTTGAAGTGAATGGTGGGGAGTAATGATGATGAAATCAGTCCAGATTTCATAGTTTCATTGTTCTTGGTTATTCAAGAGAGTAGTCTACTTAATCAGATGAGGTGTTTGGTCCAACTTCACTTAGAAATCTTTATTAGCAGTCATGTGTTGCATTGATCTAAATCATTTTGATTAGATGTCAAGTTATACTCCTGCTGACATGAGATTTTTGAGAGTATCATGGTAGTACATTTAATATAACTCTTGGTGAGCCTATATTATTTTAAATTTATCATTCTCATTAAATAGGTGCAGAGGATGGATGACTATTCATTTTACCTTATTGCTTGAACTTTGTAAACTTGTATGCTTACTTGTAGAAGGTTTATGTACGTGATTTGCATATATTTTGAACTAATCCTAGGAATTGATTATTGCTATATACTTTATTTTGAGTATTCATTGAATGTTGTTTTATAATTTTTTATTTTCAATTTAGTTGTATTGTTGGGTCCAAAAAATCATTTGATTCTAATATGGAAGTATGATCCATAAAAATCTCTATAACCTCTCAGCATCTCCCTTGCACAAGAGGCATCTACGAAGGCTTGTAGTTGTGGTGTCTAGGACACCATAATTGGGTCTTCTACCTCACCATGCCAAAAAAAATATGTATGAGTCTTATGTACCTGCACAAAACTTTATTACACACCATTGGTTTCTTTTTTTTGGATAATGACAAGCAAACCACCTGAAATATTGATATTTACAAATAACCACTCAGGTGCTTTTTTTTGAACTACCAAATCGATGTATTTTCTTAGAGCTATTACTTGTGTCCGTATAGAAGGAGAATTAACCATGTATTTTCCTATTTCAATTGGATTACATTTGGGATCGACTTTAAGCTCACATCCTTTTGCTTAAGTTTTGGATGCTCTTACTGGACATTTACAGGATGATGTACCTTGGTGTATGTTTTCACTGATGATATCCTTCTTATGGATAAGACTAGAGAGAGTTCAGAATAAACTTGATTTATGGGAGCCTATGTTGGAGTGAAAAGACTTTCATTTGAGTAAATCTTATTATGTAATGTAATTTTAGTAGTAGTAGCTGTAGTGGCATAGTTGTAATTATAGCTGATCAAATCATTAAAAAGTGTGAACATTTTATATATCTTGAGTTTATGGTTCAAAGTGATGGTGATATAGATGGGGATGTTATTAGTAGAATTCAAGTTGGCTGGTTGAAGTAGAGGAGTGCATTGAGCCTATTGTGTGATAGAAAAGAACCACTTAGACTTGAAAGAAAAAATTATAAGATGATTATGAGACCTGCAATACTTTATGGCACATATTATTGACCTTTACAAGAGAATCATAAACATTGTTAAGTGTTGCGAAGATGAGAATGCTTAGGTGGATGAGTGGCTTGACACTTAGAGACAAAATGCAAAATGAATTTATCCGCGATAGAGTTGGTGTAACTCCAGTGGCATATAATATTAGAGAGAGTTGTCTTAGATAGTTTGGTCACATTAAGCGTCGACCATTTGATGACCCGATTAGGAGAGTAGATGTTTTTAGATTTGACTTATGTTAAGAAAGACAAATGTAGACCTAAAAACACTTGGGCATATTGTGTAAAAAATGATTTTTATCTGTTAGAATTAATTGAAAATATGACACTCAATAGGACATTGGAGAAAAAAGATTTATGCAGCTGACCCCACTTAGTAGGATAAAGACTTGTTATTGTTGTTGCTATTGTACCAAACCAATGTATTTACACGCGCCACGATAATGCTATTGAGAATTTGATAAAAATGAAAACTATGGGTTGGTTCTGTACAATGAATTTTGATATTTGAGTGAGAATTTGAAAAATAGATGAAGAAGAGTGATTGTTTTGCAAATAGGAAGTTTTGGGTGGTTGGTATCTACTTGCCCTTTTCTTTTTGTTATATTAAGAAAGATAAGTACACATTTATTTTTGGTGTCTCAGGTATTCTTCAGTCGTGCTTACAAAGATATAACTCTTCTGTCCACTGCACAAAGAAGGAAATACATGAGTCAGGCACAAAAATATACACAAAAAATATAAGATTTCTCAATCACATTAAAAATATGGCTTAATACAATAGTATAAAAATGGATTGCACATTTGTCATCAATCTTATTCACAAAATGATAAATTATTTAATTGATTTTATACTCATTACCTCTTGCTATTTCAAGTGCAAGTGCATTAATAACTTTGCTAGCACATTTGTTTCCCCTTGATTACTAACAGTCAGCACAATGTAATTATTAGCATAATCTCACAAAAAAAGTATTTTAAACTTAATAACATGATTGTTCCATAAGTTATTTTAAGTTTGTGATTGTGGAAGCATTCTTAAATATGCTGAATAGAATGTTATTTCTTAGGAAAATTTATATACATACCACCCAATTCTTATTTTTTATTTTAAAATAAATTTGAGTCACACACACACACACACACACACACACAAAATAATCTAAGAACTTGTTACAAAAAAAAATAAATGAATGAAAGAAAATTGGAGATTTTTTTTATATTCTCTAACACTTTGGAGAGTAAGAAATTTAATGTTTTTTTTTTCTATTCTCAATTTATTTGAGAAACTTTTTTTGAGAAAATCTTAATAGCATAATATTTTGGATAATCTTTAAATATTATCAAATGACCCTTTTATTAAAAAGCCTTATGGATATGATCCCAATTTATAGGATGTGATGGCCTTGTATTATTTTTATATTTTTGTTGGGTTGTCTACTTGCAAAGTAAATCATGTAATTGATAATTTCCATGTCAAATTATCACAACAAACTTGATTATCCTTTAATTGAATTACTATGTAACATGATAAATGCTTTGACCATTCTTTTGAGAGTTCTACAAATTGAAAAGCCTTAATGCCAAAACTAGTGAAAGAATTGAAAACCTAATACCATATGATCCCACCACACAATGCTCAAAAAGAACATTACAAGAGAATTATATATAGCTTTGAGAAGCAAGAAATAACAATGAGCATTTAGAGTGAGCAAGTTAGCTTTTATTAAATTGTTTGCATCCTCATAGATTTTAAGGGTTATTTATAAGTGTTAGAATAGTGAAACAAATATTTAAAATCATAGCATTTTAAACATTTATTAGCCATAAGTTGAACTAGCTTTTGAAATAATTTAATTCCAATGACTTCAAATTGTTAGACAATTGCAAATTTAGTTTAAAATCAGTTACAATAATTGCAAAGTTTTCTCAAAATTTCTTAAGAAATAATTGATCTTATGTACAATTGATAATATATATATGAGTGTAATTCTAGAAATGATCAAAATTTAAGATTTGGAAACATTGATAATAATTACACAATGATCATATCATCAATAACTAATTTGAAATTGTCATTGAAGCATCAAATATAATATTTTAATTGTATGTGCAATCAATATAATCATTTTTATGATTCACAATAATCTTAAAATTTTTGAGAATATTATTTTATTTGTATCTCAAGTTATAAATTGTCATTAGTTAATGTGTTTGCCATTTTTCTAAAGCCTAACAAGATGAACACAAAAAAAGAAGTAAAGTTTTAATTTTCAAAGTCCCTAATTGTTCTTCTTAAATTGTTCATTTTTATGATAACACAAAAAAAAAAGTAAAGTTTTAATTTTCAAAGTCCCTAATTGTTCATTACATCATGCTTGAGTTTATGTAATATGAATCTTCAATTGTCAGCATGATGAGTTACAAATTTATGTGCTTCAATAAGCTCTCTAGTATCTTCTAAGATGGGCTTATTTTCATTAAAATAAAATTGGAATATAGGTTTCACAGGATTAATGATTAATCTCTTTTGAAGTAATATGAATCTTCAATTGTCAGCATGATGAGTTACTAATTTATGTACTTCAATAAGCTCTACTTATTTTCATTAAAATAAAATTGGAATATAGGTTTCACAGGATTAATGATTAATCTCTTTTGAATCTTGGCATCCAAATTAGATCCTAATAAATCCAAGCAAACTGAAAAATGCACTTTGTTTATTAGTTTATAGCTCAAAAAGCTTGGCATACAAAGGCCCATTACTCTTGCTCTTTTTGCCTTTTTTGAATTTGAATAAGGGAAAGGGAGTTCTAAGTATTGTAGCACATGGCTGGTCATAATGCCAATTTTGACATAGAAACAATATGGATAATCCTTAAAAATGGTTTCTCATGTTTATCTATTTTTTATACAATCTCAAAAAATTTATTGTGAAGACTCATCTAAAGTACTGTTTCCTCATCAAACAAGATTGCCAATCTTTTAATCCCTATTAAAAGTCTATAGATTAGTAGATTCTATAATTAAAATGAGCTTGTATAGAAAGAACCCACTATTTCGAAAAAAGTGCAATGAAATTGAAAGGAATAATAATTAGTCATGAAGCACATATTCACACCTACAAGCTTAATGAGAAATGAGAGAAAATCTATTAATAAGAATAAGAATGTGGATCTGATTAAGGGGTGTAAATGAATTAAGTCTAAACGAATTGAGCTCGAGCCACCCTCGACTTGAGCTTGATTAATTTTATCAAGCTCCAGCCGACTCACAAGCCAGCTTGTTTATTAGAAAAGAAAAAAAAAATAATTTTAGTTTAAGAGTTATGATAAACTAATAAATAGAATAACAGTTAAAAAAATAATAATAAATCACTTTAATATAAAATACAAAACATCATTTCTTAAATATTTTCAATATTTTAAATATAAAACTTCAAATTTAATATATTTTAAGTATATTTTATATAAATATTTTATTAACCGAGTGAACTCAGGAGCTAATGAGTCGAGTCAAAACTAGCTTAAGCTTGGCTTGCTATCTCATCAAGCTCAGTTCAGGAGCCATTATCGAGCTGAGCTCAAGCCCGCTTGACTCACACTCCTAATCTGGTTTAAAATACTAATTATTAAAAATAAAGCACAAAATTAATTACAAATAAATAGGCACAATATCAGTTTCAAATAAGCAAGAAAACAGCACTAAATAATCCCATTTCTGGATTGAGAAATTAATGAGTGCAACCCTAGCATTGAAATTAAGGGATTTTTACTAGCACCTAATTCTTATGTATTTACTCATCTCACACCTAAACTTTAATTTTTACAAGTTAAACACCCTACCTATAGAAAAAAAGTATAGTCCACACATTTATACATCTTTTCAAACTTAGGAAAAGATGCTAAAAGCATAAGAATTGGATGGCATGTATATAAATTTCCCTAAAATCAAAGAGCCATTTCTAAATGAAAATTTCAAGGAATTCAAATCATTAGCTATCACCGAAAAAGCTACAACATTTCTGTTCTATCTGATCAACTGATAATCCTACAAGTAAAAAAGGAATAAAATCAACACCCTCAAACAAAGTTCTTATTTACCTCTCAGAAACTTATACAAACTGTATAATCATCCTATTAAAATATACTTAAAATATACTTTGTAATAACAGCAATGAAAATAATAAGAATGAATAGAATGCCGCCCCAAGCAGATCTGACCATTTCCATTTTTTAGCTTTGTTCTAAATAATTAGAGCCAGATATCCATTTTAGTATATATTCTCACCATCCTGCAGCTTTTAAGAACTTGTCATATGGACTTGAGGGTGGCAGCCTAAATGGCTGCTCAGCCTCCATGGATTTTGTATTTGAACCGTTAATGTCTTCAAATGATATACGGTTCGCCTCAGCGAGTTGCAGGGTTTGCTGTAAATTAATGAAGAGAAATGATCAGACATTATAAACAAAAGTTTAGGATAATATTTAGCTTTACTTGCCAAGAGTTTGGTTGATAGGTGATTCTTATTATCTTCAGAGTCTCCCCTCTGACTCTTGAAGCTTTGGAGAACTGACATCTTCCGTTGCTTTCCAATAACAAGTGCTTCACACTGGCTCTTCATCTCCTCATATGGAACACTGGAGGTGAGGGCTGGAGGTGTAGCCGCCTGCTGGGCAGTCTCAAGAACCTGAAAGTTGTTCACATTTATCTAAAGATTATTCTATATTACATATAATAACCTAATTAGTTCATTTTCTACATCAATTGTGCTTCACTTCTACATTTACATCATCATGAATTTTGACATGAAAGAGGTGAATATGAAAGGCTGTATAAACATGCAGAGCAAATTGAACATATGACAGATAATATAAAAGTCAAATTAACTGTGTGAATAGAAATTTAAAAATCTAAAAGATAAATTTGATCGAGTTACAAGTTAGACAAGAAATCTTTTTGCTTTAGTTATGGATGCTCTTAGTAGACATTTACAGGAGGATATACCTTGGAGTATGTTTTTTTGCAAAAGATATCCTTCTTGTGGATAAGAATAGAGAAAGAGCTCATGAAAAACTTAAATTATGGAGGTCTACATTGGAGTCTAAAGGTCATCGTTAGAGTAGAACTAAAACTCAATACATGAAATGAAATTTTAATAGTAGTAGCTCTAGTGACAAATTTGTAACTATAGGTGATCAAATCATTAAAAGGTGAGAACATTTTAGATACCTTGGGTCATTGTTCAAAGTGACGGTGATATAGATAGGGATGTTATTAGTAGAATTCAAGTTGGTTGGTTGAAGTGGAGGAATGTTTTGGGCCTACTGAGTGATAGAAAAGTACTACTTAGACTGAAAGGAAAATTTTATAAGATGGTAGTGAAACCCGCAATGCTTTATGATGTAGAATGTTGGCCTTTAAAAGAGAAGCATAAAACGAAGTTAAGTGTTGCCGAGATAAGAATGCTTTGGTGGACGAGTGACTTTACACTTAGAGATAAAATGCGAAATAAATATATCTGTGATAGGGTTGGCGTAGCTCCAGTGGCAGACAAAATTATAGAGAATCGTCTTAGATGTTTGGTCACATTAAACGTCAATCATCTGATGATTCAATTTGGAGAGTAGATGTTTTCGATTCAACTGAAGTTAAGAAAGGCAGAGGTTGAACTAGAAAGACTTGGGCATATTATATAAAAAATAATCTTAATTTATTAGAATTAAATGAAAATATAACACTCAATAGAACCCAATAGAGAAAAAAGATTCATGTAGCCATCTTGTCTAAGGCTTGTTGTTGTTGTATAAGTTAGACAAGATGTCTAACCAAATGAAAATAATTAAGATTTCAAAAGGATAAATTTAAAAATTCTGATAAAAGAACTTTTCATAGTGTTCCTTTCCTAATAGAAAACACATCTTTTCCCAACACATGACTTAAAGATGTTGCAACTCTTAGTACATACTGCCATATAAATAGTGGAACACTGTCTCGTCCCCCTCCCCCTAAACCCCAGCTTATTAAAAATGTCCCAAATTCTCGTCCCCCTAAACCCCAGCTTATTAAAAATGTCCCAAAGAAAGGTCCACATGTACTTCATCCCTAACCTACAAAGATTAGGAATTCTAAAAACCATACAAATCCTAAAGAATCGTTGAGAACTTAAAGACCATAACAAATATAAAGACGAGATACCCTCTAAACCTTGTTGAAGATTATTATTCTAGAATGATCATGATGAATCACATTATAGGCATCAAGCAAGAGAAAATGAGATTCATTGAGGTTAAATATAAACCCTCGATACTGATTGGATAATTATCATTAAGTTAAGGAAACTACGTTATTAAACGAAAAGGTTTAAGAAGTTATTAAAGAAAAAGATGCAAAACAGAAACAATAAAGAAGTTTTAATGTCTTAAAAAAAGGGTAGAAGAAAAATGAAAAACAAAAACAACCTGTACAACAGGCTAATAATAAAGAAAAAATATTTATATAAAATAGCTAAAAAAAAAAAGAGAGCACGTCCAATAAGTTTGATAAAGTTAACTAGGATAGTAAATTCTTAGTAAAAATAAAGAAATCAAGAAAAGATGAAAATATAATTTTGGGAAATTATTTAATGAAGTTTAAGGAAAAACTTATTTTAAAAGAGTACAATGAATAAAATAATATGCTATATCACAAAAGGATCCAAAAAAGAAAAAAGATACATACCAATAAAGATTTATGTTTAGATGAATAACTATTGAGATTTGGAAAGTTATTTCTCTTTTTTTAGCGGTTTGGTTAACAAACCATTTCAATGGAATTTTAAAGACAAGCTATTGTCAAGCGATCCACAAGAATTTTGATATAATAATTTGAAAAGAAATAAGACGTTCAATATTATTGTGCAAAAGGAGAAATAAAATCTAGGATTCATCGAAAGTGGTTATGAGAGAGTAATACAAATATAGACATAAAAATTGCATTAATATCGAATTAATAATTTAATCAATGCCAAGAAGATCCTCAACACAAGTTCTTTGTGTTCTAAAAGTATAAAAGAGCATGAAAATGATCTTCATATGGTTTCTCATGACCTTGAAAATGTAAATGATTGAATATTATGAGAATTGATTTGGTACATGTTAATAAAAAAGAATGGTTTCCATGCATTAAAAGAAAGTTGAAGTCATTAAAAATATGCCCAATAAAGCATTGATTAGACTAGTAGACTGGCAAAAGATTTTTTGATAAGAATTGGATAACTGATTTACTCCAACCCATATTTTAAATTTATACAATTCTAAGAGCATTTCTATAAAGAAATTGACAAAATTAGGGACTAAAAGTTAGGGGTAGAAATAACTATAACAATAAATATATAATGTTAATTTTAACATAAAGGAATGACAGCTCATCCATCTGAAATGTGTAATCATTGGGGAGAAGGGAGATCCTGGATGTGACATCGGGCATTGATGGAGGAAGCAGACAGGTGGAGCTGGTAACAATTAGAGTGGAAGTCTAAGGAATAATTCAAGGTAGCGTCTTCCCAGTAAGGGTGGCAAGCATCCTTTCATAAAATATCTATTAATTTTAATATACTTTGTTTGATCATGTTACACAAACTAATATGCAATGCTGATGGTCCAGTTATTACTATAATAGAATCTCAAAGGAGCTCCACATTGAACCTTTAAACCTTCAATGATCAAACTTGCCGGTATTTGTTTACTATGATTCATGCGTATAATATATAAAATGCATATAATGAATGCTTGTTACAAAAATTATGATTTATGAAATGTTACAAGTGATGTTATAGATAGACTACTATATGAATCTTGTAAGTACGTGATAGAAAACAATGAGATTGCCGACTCCTGGCACTCACACGGAGAAGAAACTCCGAAAATCATTGGGATCATACGGGAATGGAATGTAGGGAATTGCTGGTGCCAGAGGGGCTATTAATAACTGCTATGTTGAGGGGGCTAAGCTTTTATAAATAGTTAATGTAGCCTTCGAGCTAGGTGATAACCCAAAGGCATTATATGACAAGAAAATAGACAAGTGACATTCCTATAATTACTAGTGATAACTATGAAATTCTTATGAACATGCTTAAAATTACACATGAATAGATGAAATATATATTTCATACAATT